GGGGGGGGGGGGGGGGGGGGGGCATCGATTGGTGGGCCTGGTTGATAGAGCTTCATCAGAGCTAAACAACAAAAGAAATCTGAAGCTCCTATGTTGAACACTTTCTGACTCATAAGCAATTTTGCATGTCCTGACACCCCCACTTTGAAAGGAGCCCCCTCCTCAAAACTGTTGGCTGGCCCAGTTTAGGTCAGACTCATCTACAGCCCTGCCAAATTTCATGTTGATCGGTGCAGCAGTTTTTGTGCTACAGCATAACAAAAATCACTAAAAAAAGGAAAAAAAGAAACAGTACGGAAACAATTTGACTCCCGCTTAACACTTCGCGTGCGGGGGTCATAAGAAATGCATAAACAGTACATTAAGAAGAAAAATATAAAAAATGAGAAAAAATATATATGTATATCAAAACCATAAATAAAATGAAATGAAAGACAGCAGAGAGAAGAAAAAAAATCTTACAATATAAATTCACTCATCTGTGAAGTGATGACACTTCCTGCAAACAACCAGCCAGGTCTGAAAAGGGTTATGACCAAGAGTCTTTAATCTTGAAACAGGAGCAATGGTTTTGCATCTCCTTTGAAAGAAGCTCTTTGTTCTGTTCATGAACTCCTATTAGAAGACTGTGCAGAAAACTAAAAACAGGCATTGTAGCATTTTTGGAAGCCATGGGCTCTATAAAGGAGTAGCCCAGTTTCCTGAAAAGGCCCCACCTTTCAGACTAAACCTCCATCTGATTTAATCAAAAGTCAGACGGTCTAATTCATGACGTCAAACTGAGCCATGCTTGGCAGTGTCTGTGTTGACATCACACCTACTTCATCTGACCACAGACTCAAAGCCATGTCTCTGAATAGCAACAACATTCTATTTTAAATTTGTTACTTTCAAGCCAAGAACTAAGACTGGATTAAGGCTTGGAAACAGGGACAGAGAGAAGCCGGTTCTTTATGCTCGGTTTATTTAAGGCCACAACAAAGCCACATTAGTTCACTAGTTGGTCTATTTTAGAGAACACCAGGAATCAGACTTCCCCAGCTCACCAGGGCATCCACTTGCACAACAACAGACAGGAAATAGGTCAGTACCTGTGAAAGTTTCAGTGCAGGGGTTGATTCCGGCCAGTCTTTTGGATGTGCCAAAATCTGATATCTTCAGGACACCACTGTAGGTGTTGATGAGGACATTATCACCCTGTGGAGAAAATACAACAGTGAGAACAGGCAAGCCCAGACTGTGAAGTGCTGCAACAGGAAGACCTTTATTCCTTCAAATATCAGAGGAGGAGCTTCGTGATGAACATTCACATTGTGCTAACAATGCTAATCTGAGCCCACTGTTCCAACAAGGTTACTGACCCTGATGATGGTGTTTGATGGGAACATTACCAAAGTTAGTTTCAAACAGACAGAGCCTCTGATTAAATAATCTCATCTTTTGTCTGACCTGTTCAGTTTTTAACCCTCTGAACGGATTCACAGAATAAAACATTCAGTCACCTTGATGTCTCTGTGGGCAATCTGGTTGTCATGCAGATATTTGAGCCCCTCGAGGATCTGCCGCGTGTAGAAGCCGATGGTGGGCTCGTTGTTTTTTAGAGGGCCCCARTTAGACCTCAGCAGCGCAGACAGACTCCCTGAATACAAAGGGACAAAGTATGAATGTGATCAGCTCTCACTTTGAGTCAAGATTAGTATCAGAAGACTGACTATGAACATTCAGCGTGTACAAAGATTACCTTACCTGAGGTTAATTATGAACCAACATGACTGATAAGAACAAATACTTATTTATCCAAAAATATCTTGAAAATATATTCCTGCATAAAAACAGTCAAATAAATTATCAGGAATAAGTTTATWAAGGTGAGTCTGACCTCCAGGAACTTGCTCCATGAAGATCTTTATGAAGCCGTTTTCGCTGATAGAACCCAGGTACTGGACAATGTTTTTGTGCTTCAGATGTTTGTGAAGAGCGATTTCCTCATGGAGTGGCTGAGAGTATCTATAAAAAAATACACACATGAAAAAGCTCAATATCCATGAAGTAAAATATTAATTAGACCAAAGAGATGTTTTAACTTTGAACTAAGACAAAAATTTGTATAGAAATTTAATTTTCCATAAAAATGTAGAACTCTGGGCCCTGAATGGCTTTGGCAAAATTGGTTTAAAAAAAGCTAAATTGACTTGTTTAACACTAAAACATATCCAAACAGAAGCTAAAATTAACCAATTAACCAAACAGGTAAAATAAGCAGCTAAGATCCAAAAAACATTACAGAAGCTTAAAAAACTCGTGCGGACCGCGACCCGGTGCTCTCACGCAAATCCAAAAGGTGGGAGAGTCTGTTTCTTCATCAACACCTACTGGTGCAACGATGTGTCTGGGAACACTGTTCACCTGCTCTGGAATAGCTTTTTATCAACTGCAAACCATTCTACTCTCCATATGAGTTCACTTCATTCATTTTGGTCGCTGTTCACATTCCACCAGAGGCAGATGTGCACAAAACTCAACGCACACTCGCAGCTCAGACTCTGTGTGTGTAGCAAACAGTTCTGGACTCTTTAGTCATTATCCTGGGAGATTTTAACAAAGGTAATCTGAGCCAGGAACTCCCCAAATAGAGACAGTTTATTAAATGCCTGACAAGAGCAGAGAAAACCCTGGACCATTATTACGCAACTGTGAGTGGAGCCTACCGAGCGGTGCCACACGCAGCTCTCGGACTTTCAGACCACATCATGGTCCACTTAATCTTTGCTTACAGGCACCCGCGTAATTTACACGGGGGATAGGGGGGTTATAACCCCCC